GGGCGCGGTGGCTCCCACCTGTAGTCCCAGCACTCTGGAAGGCTGAGGCGGGCGGATCGCTCGAGGTCAGGAGTTCGAAACCAGCCTGAGCAAGAGTGAGACCCCGTCTCTACTATAAATAGAATAAGCAGCAACAAGCTGCTGCTGAGGCCGAGGCATGTTAGTTCGCAGGCATGGTCTATGCGCGCGTGCGCGTCCGCTGACACAATACAAACTGGAATACAGTTAACCTTCCCCAGAAGTGTGAAAGTAGGTGCTCAGATTTCTAAAGCCCGTGGAACCTCAAGGATTTCATTGCCTGTGCGTAATTATTTGTATATTATAAATTTGTAAGAGAACAGCGTTGCACTATGAATAAATTTCCAGGTTAGGGTACTTGAACATATTCTGACCTCAGAGTGCTCTACACCGGATCAGCCTCCCATAATACTAGAGGTTTTACAGGCAGTGAGCTAACCTGGGGTGCCCCAGCCCTGGCTGTCATTGCATAAAAACGAAGGTCGGGAATGCGGTGGCCACGCTGGTAAATCCCAGCACTCTGGACTAGAGGCCGAGGCAGGAGGATCGCTTGAGCCCAGAGAGATTGGAGCATAGCCAGTGATGCTGTGATGACGCCCACTGACACTCCAGCCTGAGCAGAAAGAGCAAGAACCACCATCTTAGAAAACTCGAAAACAAAACTAAAAAAAGAAGAAACAAGCCCCCTCTTGACCTTGCATTTTCGCGTCCCCCTCACCCACGTCATTTTGTTTGCCAGGTCTACGTCTTCCGTCCCTGCCTTCCTTGGCAGCGTCATGACCTGGCGGGCCGCCTGTTTCTCTCTGGGAGACACAAGCCCTGGACCCAGACTCTCCCGGTCCCCTCCCCTCCCCTGGACACCCGTTGGCCTCCCTGTCTCTGGCCTGGCCCCTCCCTCGCACCACCCACCCCTCCCGAGGTCTCATCCGTACCCCGGGGCTCCAACCGCTGTCCGAGCCTCGGGCCCGGGCTGCTTCCTATAGGATCTGCTCCTGTTAGCCCGTGGAGGTGCTCTGCCCCAGGTTCCTGCCGATGAAGGAAAATAGAAACACCATCATTCACAGGGTGCTCAGGCCTAGAGAACGCGGAGTGTCATAGTTTACAAATCTATCCCGCCAAGGCTGCCCATTCTCCCACCCGACGCTACGGTCCCCTCCGCTTGGTTCCCATTTCCCGGCCCAGCCCTTCCACGGTCTGTTCCCCCGCAGGCAGCCACCAGAGGGCGCCGGTGAGCACCCGAGTCAGGCCGTCCCTCCTCTGCCCACAGCCCTCCAGGGGCCCACCCCCTCCGGGTCAAAGCCCAGGTCCTCCCTGGAGCCCACCAGGCCCTGCAGGACCTGCCCGGTCCCCTCCCTGCCCTCCCTCTCCGTCTCTGCCCCTGCCTCCCTCTGCTCCAGCCACACGGCCTCCTTGCTGAGCCTCCAACACCGCCACAGGTGCCGTCCTGCCCCAGGGCCTTTGCACGGCTGTGCCCTGCCTGCAGTGCTCTCCTGCTGGGACTCCCACGGGCTGGTTCCCCTCCTCACCCAAGGCCTTGGCCACACTGTTTTAAGCTGTGACTCCCCTCCTAGCTGTGCTCACCTCCCCTCCAGGTGCCCCACTCCGTCTACACCACTGGTCCCTTCCCACCTAGTTGTGCCGTTGTACTCCAGGGCCGGAGAGTCTCTTAGCACCTGTCTCCTGCCTGCTGCGGTTTCGGTCTTTGCACGCGACACCGCGGCCAGCACCCAGGAGAGGGCCGGCCCAGGCCTCGCACGCGGACCTCTCCACGTCCCAGGTGGACGGAGGAAGAGAGGGCAGGGGCCGTGAGCCAGACCCGGGCACAGGGCGTTCTGGGCGAGGAGTGGCGGGCTGCGCGCGCGACAGGACGGGCGCGGTGGGGCGGAAGCGATTTGGGATTTGCGACACGTGGACTAACCCAGGCAGGCGGTGTGGCCGGAGGAGGAGGCCCCCAATCCTCTTAGCCCAGAGCGCCTTAATACTTCCGCTGCGTGGGTCACCTCCGGGCCCGCGCTGCGCCTCCAGGCGCCACCATGCCGGGGCTGGCGAGCAGGAGGCGGCGGAGGGCTGGGGCCGCCCGCCCTGTACGAGGAGTACCGGCCGGCCCCGCTGGACGGCCGTCCGCCTGCCCCGGTACGCGCTGTACCTGCTGCTGGCCGCGCTCGTCGTGGTGGCCGTGGCCTACGCCATCGTCGCGGCACCTCATCAAAGACCTGGCGCACGACCTGGCGTGAGCGGCTCCGCGCAGCCGGGGGGGGCGGCTGCTGGGCAGGTGGGGGGGACACGTCGGGGGG